GAGACTCTGTCTCAAAAAAAAAAAAAAAAAAAAAGGAAAAGAAAACAAACCCTTCAGGGTGCCCACTTCTTTTTTTTTTTAAGACAGAGCCTCAAGCTGTTGCCCTGGGTACAGTGCCATGGCATCACAGCTCACAGCAACCTCCAACTCCTGGGCTCAAGCGATTCTCCTGCCTCCGCCTCCCAAGCAGCTGGGACTACAGGCGTCTGCCACAATGCCCAGCTATTTTTTGGTTGCAGTGGTCATTGTTGCTTGGTGGGACTGAGCTGGATTCGAACCTGCCAGCTCAGGTGTATGTGGCTGGCACCTTAGCCACTTGAACCACAGGTGCCGAGCCAGGGTGCCCACTTCTGGCTCCTTCCTGTGGCTTCCACGGCCCTGCCTGGTCAGGCCTCCATTTCCTGTGCCAGCTTCTCTTTGGGCCCCTATGTCTCCCCTTCCTTTTTACCTTCAGCCTTTCTGGCACTTAGAGTGCCATGTTAACTTCTTGCCGAGTAGATTCTCCTTCCCTCTGCCTAGTGACCCTCCTTTTCAGCTTTCAGGTCTCTGTCGAAGCTCAATTGTCTGGTGTCTCCCCACTCTGCACACACCTTCTCACATTACCCCTCCTTTTCCCCAGCCCCAGTAAGGCATCATGCGCCTTGTTCCTACCATAGCATCTGGCACGTACTACTTTTTTGAGACAGGGTCTTCTTCTGTCACTCAAGCTAGGGTGCAGTGGTGTCATCATAGCTCACTGCAACCTCAAACTCCTGGGTTCAAGTGATTCTTCTGCCTCAGCCTCCTGAGTACCTGGGACTATAGGTGCCCACCATTGCATGCCAATAATTTTTCTATTTCTTTTGTAGAGATGGGGTCTCACTCTTGCTCAGGCGGGTCTTGAACTCCTGGCCTCAAAAGATCCACTGGATCTGCCCCCAGAGTGCTGGGTTATAGACCTGATCCACCTCGCCTGGGTGGGAGGTACTACTCTTAAACTGCATAATGAATACTATGGAGCAGCCCGTGCCTTCCAGGCACTATTCTAGGGAAGCCAACAGTGACCCAGGTCCCACCAGAAGGGGGACCGCTGCCTAGTGGGGGGATAAGAAGACAGCATGTGCACAGAAGGAAATCTGTGAGGTAGTGACAGGGATTAAGGGGAAAATAAACGGAGGGAATAGACTGTGCCAAGAAATGTCATTCCTAATTACATTTAGGGAGGACTTCTCTGGGGAGGAGCATTTGTAGAGGCCTAAACGAGGTGTGGAGGCGCAGCAGGCAATGATCTCAACATAGACATGCCCAATGGTTGGACAAGGGCAGCTGAAGTAGTCAGAATATAGAGAAATGAACAGGCAGAGTTGTCTTGCTGCCCCCAGCAGTGAGGCCTGGAGAGTGGAGCTGGGCCCAAGGAGCCACCACGTCTGTTGGGTGGTGGGGAGAGTGCTGGTCTCGTGGGACCTGTGGTTTAGCCGTCACTCATGCTTCCTTATATTTTAGAGGATAATGAGCGTTTCTACTTCCTCCCTTAAAACCTTTTTCACTAGGCCTCTCCTGAACGCCTACTCCCAGGGTGGCCCCTGGATAAGGAGGGTAGGGAGCTGCTCTAATGTTGGTGATGCAACACTTCGGGCCTTTTTCCTGCTTTTGTCCAGTCTAGTGGGAGATCTGAGTCCTCTCCTGCATCCAGCCAGTGGGAAAACAAGGGGGTGTGTGTCTAACCAAGCATGTCACCCACGAGTTAGGCCTGGGATTCTGGTCTGAGTGCTGCTGCAAATCGGGTGTTCCTGGCACTCACCTTGCACTGAGTGGCTTGTCTACAAGACCTCTGGAAGCCTTTAGTGTCAGCAGGCAGTGGGTGAGGGCCAGTGAGCCCCACAGACCCACCTGGACTCTGCCCTCACTGCAGGAAAGACCCCTCTGCGCACCTGCCACCTCTTGCTCTGCCTACTGTTCTCTTAGTAATTGACCAAATTGATTTCACCCCAAACCAAGGTCAGGTCCCCTCTGCCCCTGAGCCCCCAACCTGCCTCAGGGCTCATTTCCCCTTTGAAAGTCTGTCTTACCCAATAGCTTGTGTTTGCTTAATAGCACAAGAATCAAGGCTGAGCAATGTGTCTGTATCTAGTTCCACAGAAGCCTGAAGTGTGGTAATTTCCAGTTTCAGGTGACTCAGAGCAGTTATGCCTCAGTGTAGGAGGGGAAAGGGCAGCCACTGGAGTGGGGAGAAGTAACAAGGGCCTCCCTCAGCCTCTAACTACATGGAGAGAAGCCCTCCAATTCCAGGGCCAGGAGAATTAACACACCAGTTGCCCTAGGAAGCTCATGTGTGAACCCTACACACCTTCAGGAGGGTAAATTAAAAAACCCTGTGTGCCCAGCCTCCCTGCCTCCTCAGCACAGTATGAAACCAGCCCTCCAGCCTCCACCCCTAGACTCCAGCCATCTCTCAAGCCTAAGCACAAGGCAAGCAGTCTTTTGGTGTCAGCTATTCTAGAGGTCCCACTGACACTTAGAAATCACTGCAGTGGCTTTGCTTGCTTTCTTCCTTCCTTTTCCTTTCCTTCCCTTTCTTCCTTCATTTTTGTGAAACAGAGTCTCACTATGTAGCTCTCAGTAGAGTGCTGTAGCATCACAGCTCACAGCAACCTCAAACTCTTGGGCTTAAGCGATTCTCTCGTCTCAGCCTCCCAACTAGCTGGGACTACAGGCACCTGCCCAGTTACTTTTTGCTTGCAGTTGTCATTGCGGTCTAGCTGGCCTGGGCTGGGTTCAAACTCACCAGCCTGGGTGTATGTGGCTGGCGCCCTAACCACTGACCTACAGGTTGAGTAGCTTTGCTTTCTAAACCCTTATTCAGAAGTATCAGAAAATAAGGCTGTCCTTGGAGACCTAAGAGCAGTGGTACTCACAGGAGGGCCAGAAACAAGACATGAAGGACTGTCGCCAAGTAATTCCTTTTTTGGATGGGATACAGTATGGCTTTTAGAGTAACTCCGTTAAAGAGTAGTGTTTGAAATGCTTTGGGCAGCAAGTGGCTGAATCAGCACCACCATCATGTAATATTGGTATCTCAGTGCTGCTGGCACACAGAATTGCATTCTCACTTCCTTAACAGTGAGACATAACCTGAGGCAGCCATCCCTGAACCCTGCAGGACTTAGTTTAAGAAGCTCCCTGCTCCCGAATGAACACACAGAAGTCCAAGAGCATCTATCTCTTTATTCTTGGATGTAAAATAGGGCTCACGTCCGTGGAATTTGTAAGCCATGTACATACAGTGTCTTAAGTTAAGAGTATTTCCAAGGTGCATAAATACAATCCCACTTTAAGTTTTTCCTAAGTCATCCAGGAATTCTGTAAAGCAAAGGTTTTGAGCTTAAGATCACCTAAGGTGGCCAAGCAGAACAAGTGTCCAAGGGCAGACCACTTGTGCAATGGCATTTTTTTCTTTATAAAATGCTGCTTAAGCAGCCTGACACTGCAGTTTATCACAGTCTCCTCCATACCTGAAGATAAGCTTGTCACAAGCTCCCAGGTCACTAAATGTAGGGAATAGTGTCAGTGATCTGGGGTGCCATCTGGCCACCCCTTGCCTTTCCCTGGCTAGAATTCTGGGCTGGGAAACTTTCCAAAGGTGTTTCCACCCAGATGCCTTCCCAGGAGTTATAGACCCATGAGACCCAACTGTCAAGAAAGCTGTGCAAACTGATGGGTGCACAGAAGCAGTGATTTCCCAGGAACTCTGATGCTCTTCTGAAGCAAATGGCAGGCGAGGGGGCAAGGAAGTAAGCAAAAGGCCTCAAATGAGGATAAATGACAGACACTGCCTTTTCACTTAAACGGACCCTTTTTGGAAATTTCTGCCCAGCTTTGAGGCAGCTAGCCTAGATGGACTGGCAGGGCAGCAGCTGGTAACGTTCCTTCTGGCATGAGGGGGCTGCAGGGAACGGAGGGTTGAAAACTACCCCACCCAGGCAGCACAGCCACAGGGAGGTGGTAGGCTGAGGTCTATTTAAGAACATAAGTGGAAATTCCTTGGGCTTAATTTCTTTTCTGTTCAGTCTCTCTCTAAACAAACCTTTTTTGGGTCTCTGTAGCCAGCTATGTGAGTGCAGCTGACAGACCTACTCTCTCCCGGCAGACAAGTGTGTCTCAGATCATTAGCACATTAAACCTGCTTCATCAGAGGTCTTTCTGTCCCTCTGTGCCTTTAACACAGAGAGGGAGAACCAAACAAACCAAGCTCTTTGTCCTCCCAAACCTCTTGGTTTAGACCAGAGTTTCCTAAGTGTGGCCTGTGGTTTCTTTACATCAAAAACACTAGATGTGCTTGTTTTGCCCTCAACCAAAATATCCTAGACCTGAGGATGGGGTCTGAGATTCTCTGTTGTTATGTAGTTCCTCAAGAGGCCCAATGGAACCCACATATTCACCCAGGTGAGCTGAGCCCCCCAGTCCCGGGCCTAACACTTGACATAGTTTTACAATTTTTAAGTAAGGCAAGGGGGGGAAAAAAGATACAGAGCGAAGAACTCATTGTATGTTTATTATTCACAGTTAATCACTACCTATCAAATGCTATCCGCAGAGTTAAAGGAGTAAGTACATAGGTCTTTTTAAACACTGATTTTTTTTTTAAATATATACACACAAAACTTAGTTTAGCAAGGCTTCATGATATACACCAATTCCAAAATAAAACAATCAAATGGTCCAGGTGTAGAATGCCAGATTCCTTTTATCATCAGCGAAGAAAAAAGCAGAATGAGAGGGAGCGAGGGGGGCGGGATGTGCGCTGTCCAGAAGAGGAGCTACCTCCAGGCACTGCCCAGAGCTCCAGGCTGAGTTCATGTCCATAACCAGAGTCCCAGGGACTCCCAGGACAGCCTGGGAGCCCAAAGGCCCAAGGCTATCTTCCTGACTCCCAGGAAGTAACCTCATTTTTGTTGTGGGAAGAGAAGTAGGTGGAGAGAAGTTTACAAGCACATCCTTAAGAGGGACCCAAAGTGGATAGCAGACAGACACAGAGAGCTTTGCAGTGGTCCTGGCCTTCCTATCTACCTTTCCTTGCCCAATTTTCCCTGTTTCTGGGACATTTCGCTTGTAGGGGGTTGAGGGAGCAGCCCACTGTGAACACTGCTCAGCTTCTTGACACTGTCCTCGTGCTTATCTGGACAGTTTAGGGGATACATAGGTACAGCCATAACCTAACTTTAGAGCAAGAAGAACAAAAAGGAAACACTCTCATTTTCTTCCCCAGTGTAGGAATACGGTATAACCTGCTACAACTAAAACATGACAGTTTAGGCAGATTTTCTCCTCCAGCTTTCCTGTGTTTGAAACTTGCTGACTCTAGGGGTTTGCATCTGAGGAGCTGTAGAGGGAAGGCGGGGCAGACAACACCTGAGACCACAAGGGCAAGGCTCCTGACGCCCCCAGAGCTAGGCAGACATGGAACGGCCTCACCTCCCCTCCTTCACTGGCAGCTGGTCACAGAGCACCCTGGGCCAGAGGTTCCCTTAAACCCTGTGGGCTCACAAACATTAAAGCTGAACCCTTAAGATGCCTGGCTTAGCTCTGGGCGGGTGAAGCCCCTTGCCCTCCACTTCCACTTGTCTCCTTTTCTCTACCCTGTTTCCCCCTCCTGTAGGGAAAAATATTTACACAGAGTCAGAGACAAATTGGCTGAAAAGCTCTGGACTGTCTTTAACTTATTATAAAACAAAACAAATAAAAAAAAAAAAACACCACTCAGAAGCAACCCTTAAAATAAGGAAAAAGGCACTATGAAAAAACAACATGCTCAGTAATACCATTTGGAAGGGAAAACAAAGTGAAAAATGAGACATGGGTTTTGATTTGACTTTCTCAAGAAGCCAAAGGAGGCAGACAACATGCCCTCTTCCACCCCCTCTCTATTTCTAACTGGGGCCTGGGTGGAAGGCAGGCGCCTCTGGGCCCCTCCCTCTGGTGGAAGCTAAGCAGTAATGGCTTCGATCTGCCCTGTCCTCTCCTCTTTGTGTGTATATATGAAGAACACAGAACAGTTGTCCTTCCTTCAGTCCTTCTGACTAAAACAGACATTTTGCATAGAGAAAATACCAGCCCACTTGGTTTCTTGTCTTTATTACTGGTGCCAGCTAGGACTAACGATGTCCTTAAACATCATGCACTGAAGGACAGAAGAGAAAAGGATGAAAAAAAGGATAAAGGAGGAAAAAGAAGAGCAGCGGTGAAAACTGGTAATAAAAACTCTTCTTAATTTATAGGTAAGTTTTGGCATTTTTATATCCAGCGCCCCCTCCCACCCCCCGAAGTTCCACCCAAAGTGAGAGGGTCACCAGGGTGACCCAGCCAGGTGTTCTAAGCTCCCTCACAGGCTGCAGTTAGAGGCAGCTTGTGGGTTTAATTCTTTTTTGTTTTAAACATTTTATTTTCTTTAAATAATCTCTTCCTGATGCTTAGACGTTCCGGTTCACCGGGGTGACATAATTGCGGGGAAACATGCCAGTCTGCCCGTGGCAAGCCCCCTTCCACCAGTTGGGGTCTGAGTTATCCATGACGTGGATAAAGTCTCCCCGACGGAAGCCCAGCTCTCCATCCTCTTGGGGGTCAAAGTCAAAGAGGGCCTGGACGTATGTTGGCTGCTGCAAAAGAGTGGGGGAGAAAACACACGTTGTGTTCCTGACTGTGTCAGCCACCTCTAGGGTCAGATGGGTGACAAGGCGGAAACAAATGTGCACACATTATTCGTCCCAGGATCTGAGTTTCTACCACTGACGACAGCCTTAATGTTTACAGAGTTGAAAGGTGAATGCCACAGGCGGTAGGAACTGGTGACTAGGGATGAGGTATAAGCAGACAGGAATGAGTGAGACTCCACTCCCTCACAAGTGGAATCTTCCTCACAGTCCGCTTCCAGGGTAGAACCTTTGAGTGCGTGTGTTAAAGACCTTCTCCCTAGATAGGCAGGTGGCAAAACCTCAACACACCACCTCAGAGGGGGCAGCCTTCGGGAACAGGAAGGCAAAAGCATTTTATTCAAAACCACAAATGTTTAGCATTAAAAAAGGCTAACATCTGGAATAATGAGCACAGAAGCCCCAGAAGCCATCCTCTGAAGGGCACCTGCTAGTTTGAGAAGTGATTCTTAATTGCTAAGAATAATCCAGATCTCTCTTCCTAGGCTTACCTGTGGCACCTGTTCTATGTCCCGCAGGAATATCTGCTGGTTTCTGGAGACAGATGTGGATCTGTGATAATCTACCAGCTCATTCAAAGAATTGAATTTCACCACCCAGAGGAAATACTTTCCGGCTCCATCTCTGAGCACCTTGAAGTGCTGCACATCATTTCCAAACCTGGGAAAGGGCAGAGAAAACACGTGAAACAGCCAAAGGGCTCTGTCCTGGCTGGCGAGGGGCTCTCTGCCCAGTCAGGTGTAGTTCCCAAAGAACCTCAAGTAACATTCCTCAGCTCACGGGGCCCAGGGACTGCAGAGCACCATGACACTCTGGCTGGAAAGAGATGGGACAAGCACTGAGCATCCCTGAAGACCCTCCATTTAGATGACAGGCACCAGAAACATGAAGAATCGTCACTAGGGCTTAACGCCTGTGGCTCAAGTGGCTAAGGCGCCAGCCACATACACCTAAATGGTGGCAGGTTTGAACCCAGCCTGAGCCGCCCAACAACGACGGCTGAAACCAAAAAAAAAAAAAATAGCTGGACGTTGTGGCAGGCACCTGTGGTCCCAGTTACTTGGGAGGCTGAGGCAGGAGACTCGCTTGAGCCCAGGAGTTGGAGGCTGCTGTGAGCTGTGATGCCATAGCACTCTACCCAGGGGGACAGCTTGAGGCTCTGTCTCAAAAAAAAAAAAAAAAAAAATCCTCACTAGACAAGGAAAACCAGCTTTGGCCTTATCCCGAAGATGTATGTAAGACAGAGAATGCCCTAACCTATTCCACATGTCCACGTGCCCTGTACCCTACCAAATGTGGCAGAACCTCACTTTAGTCAAGGAGTGTGACTTTTTTGTTTTTTTCTTGAGATAGAGTCTCAAGCTTTCCCCTGGGTAGAATGCCTTGGTGTCCTAGCTCTCAACAACCTCTAACTTTTTTTTTGTAGAGACCGAGTCACTTTATCGCCCTCGGTTGAGTGCCGTGGCATCACAGCTCACAGCAACCTCTAACTCCTGGACTTAGGTGATTCTCTTGTCTCAGCCTCCTGAGTAGGGACACAGGTGTCCACCACAACACCCAGCTATTTATTTATTTTTGTTGTTGTTGCAGTTTGGCCAGGGCTGAGTTTGAACCCTCCACCCCTGGTATACGGGGCTGGCGCTCTACTCACTGAGCCACAGGTGCTGCCCCCAGTTTTTCTATTTTTAGTAGAGGTGGGGTCTTGCTTTTGCTTAGGCTGGTCTCAAACACAAGCTATCCACCCACCTTGGCCTTCCAGAGTGCTAGGATTACAGGTGTGAGCTACCTTGCCTGGCCCAAGGAATGTGACTTAACTAATGTCCCCCAAATTATGTAATATTCAAAGACTAGAAAAGCAGGATAGGAACCAGGTGAGTAGAGACTAGAAATACTTTGAAAATTCTCTTGTACGTAGGAACAGTTCAAAGTTGTGTTCTCCATTCAGGAATTTTAGTTCTACTCGTGGGAAAAAGGTCTCAGAACAAAAGGGCATATTGAGACACTAAGAGAGGCCCAGATACCAAAACCCATCCCAAATTTCTCTATCCCCAGATAACATGTTCCCTCTTGTACTGTCTGGCAAAACCAGCAAAAGCATGACTGACCAGCGTAGGCCTCCCTGGTTTCTCACAGTGATAAGTGGCTAGATCACAAGCTCAGCAAGGGTTCTGCCTGTCCTGTTCACAGCTGGCTAAGCCCTATTCACTGAATGAACAAGTATCTCCTCTCTTTCTGTCTTTTTAAAGACAGAGTCCAGGATGGCCTCCTGGGCCTAGGAAACCCCTAGTAATGCCTGTTTGTGCAGAAGGCTTACTGGGGGTGGGGGGCACGCTGGCAGGTAACAGAGCAGAGGAAACCCAGGCCAGACCTGAGTGAAGCTCAGGAGGTTGGAATGGCAGACTGTTTGGGGGAAGGACTGATGAGTGCATCCTTCTAAGTGAAAACAAGTTGCTCTCAAGATGCCTTTCTCAACCAGTGCTCTCTGTCAGTCTTAATGTTCAGGAGAACAATCCAGCAGGTGGCAGCACTAAGCCCCGAGGAAGCAACCAAATATAGGACAACACATGTTTGGAGATGGCACTGCTTTTCAAGCACAAAAAGTGCAGAAGGTGAGAGCACTTCATTTGGAAGGGCCTATTCATGTGGTACGTCTGGCCCCACAGAGGCCGACCCTCTTGGTGCCCATGCAGGTGGTTTCCCAACAGTATACACGTTAACTACAGTGTTCATGTCAGAGTTAAGAGTATAACTTAACCTTTGGAAGGTGCTATCAAAGCCAGTAATGATGCCTGTTTTACTTTTATAATAAATAATTCCTTAAAATACTATTTGATAAAAGGTGGTGGCTGCTCAGCAGATAGGCAGCCCCTAGTTCCAGTGGTTCTAGCCACCACCAGCAATTAACTGTCCCCCTCACCCAATACTGTCTCATTCCTACTTGGGTCACTATAAAAGATAAGAAAAACACATGACATACAAGTTCATGAGAGATAATACTCCACAAACCCATGCCAAGATACTCTTGCTCAGACCCTGACTTGTTTATGTCCAATTAGGCACTTCAGAAAGCCTTCATACAAGAGGAAAACTGTGTTACATACCATATTTTCCCGAAAATAAGACCTAACCAAAAAATAAGCCCTAGCAGGATTTCTATGCATTTGTTAAATATAAGCCCTACCTCGATAATAAGACCTAGTGATGGGTGTGGCTATGCAGCATATCTACATAGCTGTGCCAAGAATTTCCAAGAGGTAAGGAAGACTGGAATACCTTTTACCTGCCACAGCTCCTTTCTCCGAGCTGTTTGCACTTGCACGGGTGCGCATGTGGTAACCGCATGTGGTAACCACAGTTGCAGGCATCCTACTGCGCATGTGCAAACGGCTAGGGGAAAGGAATTCACACATCACTAGCGCTAGCCCCACCAACAAGGTCTGCTCCCCCTGTCAGGTTCCAGAAGAAGATGACTTAACTGTATTTGAACAAATGTAGATTGTTGTATTACATTTATTTTTTTTAATAAGACATTCCGGGCAGTGCCTGTGGCTCAAAGGAGTAGGGTGCCAGCCCCACATGCCAGAGGTGGCGGGTTCAAACCCATCCCCGGGCAAAAACTGCAAAAAAAAGGCTCGGCGCCTGTGGCTTGAGTGGCTAAGGCGCCAGCCACGTACACCTAAGGTGGTGGGTTTGAATCCAGCCCAGGCCCACCTAACAACAATGACAGCTGTAACCAAAAAATGGCCGGGCATTGTGGCAGGTGCCTGTGGTCCCAGCTACTTGGGAGGCTGAGGCAGGAGACTCGCTTGAGCCCAGGAGTTTGAGGTTCCTGAAAATAAGCCCTAGTATGTCTTCTTGAGAAAAAAATAAATATAAGATAGTATCTTATTTTCGGGGAAACACAGTACATGACTTCTTCATATATTCATATGTTGAGAATACACAGCAAATATACTTGTGAGGTTATTACAAATGTCACCTCAAACCTTTCTTCCTTTAGAAAAAGGACATGAGGGAGGGTGCAGTGGCTCATGCCTGTAATCCTAGCACTCTGGGAGGCCGAGGCAGGTGAATCTCCTGAGCTCAGGAGTTCAAGACCAGCCTAAGCCAGAGTGAGACCTCATCCCTAAAAATAGTCGGACGTTGTGGTGGGCATCAGTAGTCCCAGCTACTTGGGAGGCTGAGGCAAGAGATCACTTTGTAGAAAGTGGAGTAGGACAAAGTCATTTGAAGTTCCATCTGTGAGAAGGACCTAGGGTCCATCCTGGCACTTTGAGGCTAGGGGCAACTTCCAAGAGTTTGAGGTTGCTGTGAGCTGTGGTGCCATAGCACTCTACTGAGGGTGAATAAGTGAGACTCTATCTCAAAAAAGAAAAAAAAAAGAAAAAGGACACAACTATAAATTTAAGTCTGCATTTCAAAAAATCTATATTTTAACCATATATTGGTCCTAAAACAAGATATTCAGTTTATTTCTGAAAATGCAAACTCTCATGCTTTAAATGGGGAATGGTTTTGTCACTTGGCCACTGTGGCAATTTTGGCTGGGCACAGTGGCTCATGAGTGTATTCTGAGCACTTTGGGAGGCCAAGGCAGCAGGAGCATCACTAGAGGTCAGGAGATCAAAACCAGTTTGGGAAATACAGTGAGATTCCAGTTTTCACAAAAAATAAAAAAATTAGCCAGGTATAGTGGCATGAGCCTGTAAGTCCTACCTGCTTGGGAGCCTGAGGTAGGAGGATCACTTGAGCCTGGGAGCTGGAGGTTGCAGTGAGCTATGATCGTGCAAAACTAACTGTACTCCAAACACAACAGCAATCTGAGTACTAACCTAATCATTTCCTCATATGACTGAGGAAGTGATCAGTCACATTCCTGGAGGGAAGGTTTTCTATGATAATGTAATAACTAGAAAATGACTCAAAGTCAAAAACATGGAAACATTCAAACATCCTAATTTCTCAGATGAGGTGTGTACTACTTAGAATCCTTAAGTTCTAATTTATTTATTTATTTATTTATTTGAGACAGAGCCTCAAGTTCTCCCCCTGGGTAGAGTGCTGTGGCATCACAGCTCACAGCAACCTCCAACTCCTGGGCTCAAGCGAGTCTCCTGCCTCAGCCTCCCAACTATCTGGGACCACAGGCGCCTGCCACAGTGCCTGGCTATTTTTTTGGTTGCAGCCGTCATTGTTGTTTGGAGGGCCCGGGCTGGATTCAAACCTGCCACCTTAGGTGTATGTGAATGGTGCCTTAGCCACTTGAGCCACAGGCACCGAGCCAAGTTCTAATTTATTATCTCTGTGCTTTCCAAGGTAGTAGAAGTCTCTACCTTCCCCATTTACTGCTTACCAGTTCTCCTCCAACATTTAAATTCACCACTGGGGAAAGTACAACCCCCAAATCCCTTGTGCTAACATTTTTAAGTTGATGTAAGGGACCTAGGATGGGGCTGGGAGGTTTAGGCTACTGGGAAAGGCAAGCAATGATAGCCACAATAGCAATGATATATAGAAAAGACAGAAGCAGGGACCCTACAGATGGCAAGGGTGCCTGACTGAGGGAGAGGATCTTAGAGTGGGAGTGGTGGGGATTAGAGGAAACTGTGGGTACAGGTCATCTGGGAGCTGCTGCCCGGCTCCTAAAGATTTTCTACATGGGAATCAACGCCTAGTGGTGCTAGGACTAATTTTCAAGAAAAGTCAGAAATTAGGATTTTAATGCAAAATTAAAATCATTCATGGCTTTACGATTGAGATCAAGTTGGAGACAGGATTCCAGGTAGAGCAAGAAATACTCACTTGACAGAGAGAGAGAAATCTCCAGGAGCGCTCTCACTCTCTCGGATAAGAAAGGCCCCGTCGTGCCGCTGTTTGCTAAGCATTTCTTCTGCCTTGGCTCTGGGGATTTTGCCAAAAAACCACCTAAAGAAGGAAGGCAAGCCAGTCAACACCTGTGTCTCCACAAAGAAACGGGATATTCAGCTTTTGAAATGTTAGAAACAACACTCCTTGCCAGGGAAGTTGCCCCCAGCCCCAAAGTACCCAGGATAGACCCTAGGTCCTCCCCAGAGATGGAACTTCAAATGACTTTGCCCTATTCCACTTTCTACTTGTGACTTGTCCAAGCACCATCATGGGCTACTCTTTCTATAGAGGAAAACACGTGTCCACTGGGCCCCCTGCTGACTCATTAGAAAGGCACCCAGGAAGGCCAGGCCAATGGGCTAGAGTACAGGACAGACTGACCACATGGGAAGACAGGCCTCCCTGTAACTCCCTATACTCTGCCACAGTACAGTAAGGGGAAAGGGGAGGAGATGGGGAAGGCATGGAGGCTCCTGCTCATAGCCCCAGGGAAAAAGGTTCAGTTGTGACAGTAGCCACCAGCAGCCATCTAAGATCAGCACTCCTGTCAAGTCCTCACTGCTCAGAGTGACCTTTGGAAGCCACCAGGAACATCATAATTTACAATATAACACAGTAGCTAATCGGAAAATGAAGAGCTTTTCATTTGAAGTAAATTATAGACTCTTTTGCTCCTAATGCTAATTAACTTTGTCCAGAAGAAAGGGGCACACAGTTCCTGGACACCCTGGCCCAGGGCTCAGAAGAGAACACCTGCATGAGAGCTCACAGCCATAGCTGCTCACGCTTTCAAAATGAAACCATCACTAATGAGGATGGAGGAACTATAAACACATTTTCTCTTTTCAAAATCATCTTTAGCTAATAAAGATCTATCTTTCATGATAACTAGCATTCATTTAATATGCAAATATCAAAGGTAACAATTAGTCCATGAAAGTTATAAATCTAGGGTGGCACCTGTGGCTCAGAGAGTAGGGTGCTGGCCCCACATACCAAAGGTGGTGGGTTCAAGCCCAGCCCCAGCCAAAAACCACAAAAAAAAAAAAAGCAACCATATTCTTTTTTTTTTTTTGAGACAGAGCCTCAAGCTGTCCCCCTGGGTAGAGTGCCGTGGCATTACCGCTCACAGCAACCTCCAACTCCTGGGCTCAAGCGAGTCTCCTGCCTCAGCCTCCCAAGTAGCTGGGACCACATGCGCCC